TAGTGCGCCCGCTGCCTGCAGGGCCGGCACTGCGCTAGCCTCTGTCCGCCCGACACTTACGGACTCAACTGCTCCTCTCGCTGCTCCTGCGAGAATGCCATCGCCTGCTCCCCTATCGACGGCGCCTGCATCTGCAAGGAAGGTAATGGGGTGCGTCCGGGAGGGGCGGTTTGGGGGCGGGGCCCCGGAGAGAAGGGAGGCGGCAGGGTCAGGGCGGAGCTGCTGGGCAGCAGCTGGACCGTGGGAAAGCAGCCAGGCTACTTCCTTCCTGGAATCTCCACTTTGCTTTTTCTCCAGCTGCAGGAATCCCACTCCTCCTAAAAGGCCCAGTCCAGGAGACCCCTCTTTGGAGTACCCTGTTCACCCTCAGCGATACATAACCAGGGCCTCCCAGATCTCCCAGGGGTGCAGGGTGGCCATCTGCAGGCTGGGTTCTGACACAGGCGTGTTTTGTTTGGCTAGCTCTCTATTACTAGTATGTTCAACAAACCTCCGGTCTCCAGTTCCCACTCTTCCCTATTGTCTTGCACATGGTCGGGATAATTTGTTTAGATACCTGTTGGGGCCTCTGTAAGCATTGGGTTTGCTGCCAACCCCCTTCATTTTGCAGAAGAGGCACCCAAGACCAGGACTGGGGTGGTGCGTGGCTGGTGGTCATTTAGCCTTTTGTTCCACATCTGACAGTTTATATGCTTGTCTCTTTTTTTTTTTTTAAAGATATTTTATTGATTTTTTACAGAGAGGAAGGGAGAGAGATAGATAGTTAGAAACATCGATGGGAGAGAAACATCGATCAGCTGCCTCCTGCACATCTCCCACTGGGGATGTGCCCGCAACCCAGGTACATGCCCTTGACCGGAATCGAACCTGGGGATAGAAATATCAATGATGAGAGAGAATCATTGATTGGCTGCCTCCTGCACTCCCCCCATTGGGGATCAAGCCTGCAACCCAGGCATGTGCCCTTGGCCAGAATCGAACCTGGGACCCTTCAATCTGCAGGCTGACGCTCTATCCACTGAGCCAAGCCGGCCAGGGCTATGCTTGTCTCTTGTAAGGGACCATGAGCACCCTCACTTCACCCCCAACTCATAGCACGGAGCCTGGCACAGTCAGTGCTTAGTGTGCGCTCACCCGGGAGGGAAGCTGGGTCCCCCTGCCTACCTGCCCACCTCCCTTCTAGGTTGGCAGCGTGGTAACTGCTCTGTGCCCTGCCCACCTGGAACCTGGGGATTCGGTTGCAATGCCAGCTGCCAGTGTGCCCACGAGGCAGCCTGCAGCCCCCAGACTGGAGCCTGTACCTGCACCCCTGGGTGGCAAGGGGTCCACTGCCAGCTCCCCTGTCCAGTAAGTGCCCAACAGCCTGCCTGCCTGCCTGGGGGGAGGGAGGGCATGGCATCCCTCAGCTGACTCCTCTGCCCTACCCTCCACTCCCTCTCCAAGAAGGGGAAGTTTGGTGAAGGCTGTGCCCATCGCTGTGACTGTGACCACTCTGATGGCTGTGACCCTGTTCATGGACACTGCCAGTGCCAGGCTGGCTGGACAGGTGAGCATTCTGGGGGACCAGGCCCCAGGCCCCCTGTGGAGTTGGGGGTATATACCCCAGGAAATGTGTCCAGAAGATCCCTTATGGGAGGGGTGGGGCAGGCCAGGCTCACCCTATTCTTCTCTCCCACAGGTACCCGCTGCCACCTGCCCTGCCCTGAAGGCTTCTGGGGAGCCAACTGTAGCAACACCTGCACCTGCAAGAATGGGGGCACCTGCCTCCCCGAGAATGGCAATTGTGTGTGTGTACCTGGATTCCGGGGTCCCTCCTGCCAGAGACGTGAGGCTCCCTCCCTTCCTCCCACCTGTCAGCAGTGTGACGCAGTGTAGTGTCAGAACCTTCTACTCTGCCCGTCTTGTTTTCTTCCACTGATTCCAATCTTTGGGCCAGTGGGCAGGAGGGAGGGAGATAGTGGCATCAAGGGCTGTTTGCCCCGAGTCACCAGGAGCCCTTTTCCCCCAGCCTGCCAGCCTGGCCGCTATGGCAAACGCTGTGTGCCCTGCAAGTGTGCTAACTACTCCTCCTGCCACCCCTCCAATGGAACCTGCTACTGCCTGGCTGGCTGGACTGGCTCAGACTGTTCTCAACGTACGTGGTGGCTTGTGTGTCTGAGAGCATGTGTGTGCCAGAGGGTGGGCTGAGAACCAGCGGCTTCTGTTCTCCTGCTCCTGGGTATAAAAGCCTCTGGACCTGCCTTGATTCAGTTAGTGATATAAACAACACACACAAAAACTTACTGAGCACCACCTCCCTTCTGGGTGCTGCGGATGCAGCAATGAACAGTCAGGAGAAACAACTCCCTGTCCTCCTCCACGGGAGACCCAGGAAGGGCAGCACAGGGAAGGGGGTGAGGGAAGCCATAAGCTCGTTTTGTTTTTTGTTTGTTTGTTTTAATGTTTTTATTGATCTTTTAGAGAGAGAGGAAGGGAGAGGGATAGAGAGATAGAAACGTCATCGATCAGCTGCCTCCCTCACACCCCCCACCGGGGATCGAGCCTGCAACCCGGGCATGTGCCCTGACCGGGATCGAACCGAACAGCCTCTTGATTCCTGGGTCAATGCTCAACCGTTGAGCTACACTGGCCGGGCCACAAGCTCAGTTTCTTATCAATTAATTGATTTACTTATGGCTTCTTTCTCACATAAATATATGAAGAACATCATGGAAAAGATTAATGCAAAACAACCAAGTGAAATAGATTTTGAGAATGGAAATGAGAAGCTATTACTATGAAACGGGCCGGATGGAAGCTCGTTGTCAGGCGGGGGAGAGAAAAGTCATCCTGGTGAGGAGTTTTGCCATAGAATTCAGGAGTAACTACTATCAGATTATTTGCTAGTAGCAGATACACAAAAATTCTACCTTAAATAGGGTGAACATTTACTTCTGTCACGTTTTAAAAAACAGTTTTTTAAGTGTAGAGCTACACAGTGCAGGGTAGTTTGGATGGCTCTGGCCGCCTGGCCCTGCCACGCTGTTCTGAATGGCCATTAGACAGCCAAGTGCAGGCGTTAAGTAGGCAGCTGGGCACATGGGTCTGCCGGTCCGCGTTTGTGAGTCATCCGAGTGTAGATACTGTCCAAAGCCTTGGTGTCCCTGGGGAGAGAGACCAGCGCTGCGGGGAAGATTTCAGTGTTGTTGGGGGCCCAGAATTCATCTGGTGAGGGCGGAGGAGGGCTGGGCTGGCACACCAGGCAGGCGCACCTTGTCTCCGCAGCATGCCCTCCAGGACGCTGGGGAGACAACTGCGCCCAGCCCTGCCAGTGTCACCATGGCGGGACCTGCCACCCCCAGGATGGAAGCTGTTTATGCCCCCCAGGCTGGACCGGACACCTCTGCTTGGAAGGTACCAACAGAAGCCGAGCTCCATGCCCCTGTGCCTAAGTCAGCCCTAGCCCTGTGTCCTGGCAACCTCTGATCCCCGCCTACCTCCTTGGCTCTCTCCCAGGCTGTTCTCCAGGGATGTTTGGTGCCAATTGCTCCCAACCATGCCAGTGTGGTTTTGGAGAGAGGTGCCACCCAGAGACGGGGGCCTGTGTGTGTCCTCCAGGGCACAGTGGTGCCCCCTGCAGGATTGGTGAGTTCTCCTCTAGGCCTTTCATATCCCCAGGGAACGAGGACATGGGCACCTGCCCGGGTCTCTGCCCAGATCTTGGCCCCCCACCTAGGAGTCTCTCCCATGCATGTCCCCCAAGCTCACCAGCAGAGCCAAGACGCTGTTCTGAATGACTGCCCTACCCACTAGGAAGCCAGGAGCCCTTCACCATGATGCCTACCTTTCCAGTGCCCTATAACTCACTGGGGGCCGTGATTGGCATCGCAGTGCTGGGGTCCCTGGTGGTGGCCCTGGTGGCATTGTTCATCGGCTACCGCCGTTGGCAGAAAGGCAAGCAGCACCAACACCTGGCAGTGGCGTACAGCAGCGGGCGACTGGATGGCTCTGAGTATGTCATGCCAGGTGAGCTTGCCGGGGGCAGGGGACACATCCAAGTAGCTGGCTCATAGGCACGGGGCTCCTGGGTCTCTCCCTGGACCTGGAAGATGCAAAGTGAGGAGTGGGAGGGAGGAAGGGAAGTCAGAGGGGCTGATGACTGATCTCCGGGGTCAGAATAGCATTCCTGGGCCCAGGCCTGTCTCTGCCTGGGGGTCACCTGCGCCTGCGTCTGTCCTTGCAGATATCCCTCTGAGCTACAGTCACTACTACTCGAACCCCAGCTACCACACCCTCTCCCAGTGCTCACCTAACCCTCCACCCCCTAACAAGGTCAGTGCTGGGGAGGGCGCGCTGGGGAGAGATGGTAAACACCTGCTTCTCTGGAAAGCTCCATCCTTGCTCCTCCCCCGTCAGGTTCCCGGCAATCAGCTCTTTGCCAGCCTCCAGGGCCCTGAGCGGCCAGGTGGGGCCCATGGGCCTGACAACCACACCACGCTGCCTGCGGACTGGAAGCACCTGGACAGGGGTAGGAGCCTAGAGGCCAGGCCTCCGGTGAGGGCGGGTGTGTGCAGCCCAGCGTCCTGCTCCGTCTGCAGAAGGGGCTTCTGGGCACCAGGGTTAGAGGAGGCTGAGCCCAGGAGTTTGATGGCGAGTGGCCTCCTCCTCCTCCTCCTCCTCAGGTAGCAGCCGCTTGGACCGAAGCTACAGCTGTAGCTACGGCAACAGTAATGGCCCAGGCCCATTCTACGGCAAAGGTGGTATCTCTGAAGACGGGCTGGGGGCCAGTATGGCTTGCGGTGCATGAGGGAGCTGCACTGGGGCTTGTTTAGGAGCCAGTGCCTCCCCTGAGCCTGAACGCTTTCCCCCATCCTCAGGACCCATCTCTGAAGACGGGCTGGGGGCCAGTATGGCTTCCCTGAGCAGTGAGAACCCCTACGCCACCATCCGGGATCTGCCCAGCCTGCTAGGGGGCCCCCGGGAGAGCAGCTATGTGGAAATGAAAGGCCCTCCCTCAGGATCTCCCCACAGGCAGCCTCCTCAGCTCCCGGCCAGCCAGAGGCCGCGATACCCCCAGCCACAGCCGCAGCCGCAGAGAGACAGTGGTACCTATGAGCAGCCTACTGTTCTGCCCCATGGTGAGCCTCCTTCTCCGCTGGGGGGGAGAAGGGACAAGGGAGGGAGAAAGGGACAGAGAAAGAGAATGTGGAGGTGCATGCTGTGGCAGCAAGAGCAAGGCCTTGGGGGTCTGACTGGGGCCAGGCCAGGCATGCTGTTGGGAATCACGGTGCCGCGTAGAGCCTGAGCGGTGGAACCCACCTCACAGGGCTGAGGATGGAAATGGAGGTTGTGGAGCACCTGGCTTGTGGAGTTGGTCCCCAGACAAGTGGGGAACCAGGCAGGGGGTGAGCAAGGGGGCTGCATGGGCAGGTGTCCAAGTGTCCTCATAGCCTGTGAGGTGGGCAGGTCAAGGTGGCCTCACCGGCTGGCAGCTGGGAAGCTGCCCAAACTGCCCTACAGCCAGGCACCAGCTCTGTTTGGGCAGAAGCGTCTGGAGAGGAGAGAGGAGGAAGAAGGGGAGGAGCCACCTCCTCCTCATTCTGTCCCTTCTCTGTCTCCAGACCCAGACTCCGTGGGCTCCCAGCACCCCCAGCCTCTGGGCCCGACCCCCGGCCACTATGACTCGCCCAAGAACAGCCACATCCCTGGACACTATGACTTGCCTCCTGTACGGCACCCCCCATCCCCCCCACTTTAGCACCGGGACCCCTGAGGGGCCAAGATGGTGTGCAAAGGCCAGCACACCTGTTCTTGCTGCCCAAGGTTGGGGACAGAGCCGGCTGAACCCTGCCAGGAGCAGGGAGAGGTCTGGCAGGCCGTGAACATGAACATGTTTATGAACAAGTTTAATAGAGGAAGTGAATGGAGAGATGGGAGCCTGGCTCCCGCCTCCACATTGGGACCCTGGCTGGCAGGAAGCCTGCATTCCCTTTCCCCAACCCACTGCCCCCCAAGGCTGCCAGGGCCTGTGTACATACACTGGTGGGTTGGACATTGCTGGATAACTCTGATTTCATATTGATGTAAAAAAATGTATATTTGAGCACCTTTTCTCTGCACTCCCAGGCTGGGCTCTGTGTATGTGTGTACTGGTATGTGTGCATATGTGAGCTTCTGCGTGTGTGTGTGTGTGTGTGTGTGTGTGTTTTCAGAGGGGTACCAGGGATAGGCCCTATCCTATGGCTCTCACCATTTAGCAGAGAGGCAGCCCCAAACCAGTTAACTAGCCGCCTGCATTCACTTAGTGCCCCTTCCAGCCAGCTGCTCCAAATACAAGCTGATTGGGTGGCCGCTGTTTGAGATTCTTCACGCTGCCCCATTGTTCCTGGCCAGAGTCAAACTGTCAAAGGTCTTAAGCCAGTGGTTCTCAACCTTCTGGCCCTTTAAATACAGTTCCTCATGTTGTGACCCAACCATAAAATTATTTTCGTTGCTACTTCATAACTGTCATGTTGCTACTGTGATGAATCGTCATGTAAATATCTGATATGCAGGATGGTCTTAGGCGACCCCTGTGAAAGGGTCGTTCTGCCGCCAAAGGGGTCGCGACCCACAGGTTGAGAACCGCTGTCTTAAGCAAAGGCTCTGCTGGCCTCCTCCTGTGCCTTCAGCCTCACCCTGAACTGTGTTCGCTGTCACTCTGCCTCAGTAACTCTGGCTTCTAGGTCCTCCTATCGGCCACACTTCTTGCTGCCACAGGGACCTCACACATCTGGAATGCTCTTCTCCCCCACTCACCTGTTAGCCTCCATTTGTCCTTCACACCCCCTCCTCTGGGAAGCACCTCTTTCATAGCACTAATGACAGCTGCATGCATTCACCCGATGCCTGCAGAAGGCCTGCAGGGCACCAGGCACCTCTGTAATGTGTTGTTTCTTTATGTGATTCTTTGATGAATTTCTGCTTTTCCCACCAGTCTGTAAGTTCCCTGTGTTTATGTGCGACATTGGTTCCCCTTGGCACATAGTAGGCACTCAATAAATGTTCCCTAAAAGACGGAGTGGCTGAGTGAATTAAAAGTATCAGTCACACTATGGTAAGTGCTCAGATAGAGGGGAGATGGCACGTTCTGAGAGTTAGTAGACTGCACAGGTGGGAGCCTTCCCCAAAGAGGGCACTTCTCCAAGGGGAACTGCATCGGCTGAAAGGTAGGAAGGGCTTGGAGTGGCCCTGGGGCAGCGGAACTGATGGGGTGGGGGAGGCTGGAGGCAGGAAGGCAGACCGGAGAGGATATACTCAACGAGGGTCCAGCAGGGTCTGGACTGCCTGAGCACTTAGAATTCAAGATTTCTAAAAAGCATTACCGGACGCATTAACTCATCAGCAGATCAGCTAAGTTCCCAGACGCAGAGGAGGCCAAATAGATGCTGTGGAGAACAGGAACCCAGCTCCACACCAGCTCACCGTGGGGCTCTCTGGGCCTTTTCCACCAGGAGCCCCTCCTTACCGGCTAGGAGGGCAGGCAGACCCAGAGAGCGGATCTGCCCACCCCGCCTCTCCCCAGATTCCTCAGACACCCCATTCCTGATAGGCTGAACCAGCTCCCGCTTTCTCGGGCTCGGTTTCCTGGGGGACTTTGGGTGGCTGGACGCCCGCCGGCCTTCGCCCCCACCCCTCGTTCTGGCCTTGTCTAGCCCTGTCCCCTCCGCCCCGGGCTCTGCCTGGGTCGTGGGGGAACCTTGGCTCGCTCCCTCCCCAAAGGGTTCTCAGGGCCGGACCCTCTAGGGCTCACCTGCTCCCTGGATCTCTGCCGCCCAAGTCCTGCCGCTCCCCCCCCACTCCACCGCCGCACCCCCACCTTCGGTTCCGCCCCTCCCTGCTGTCAGTCGGAG